AGTGAATTGTTCAGTCTCTATATGTTTGTCTAGTTTCTCTTGGTAATTTCTAGTTTCATTCCACTATGATCTGATAAATGCAATAAATTATCAAAATTTTTTGTATTTGTTAAGGCTTGTTTCATGGTCTAAAATACCCATTTTGGAGAACATTCCATGAACTGCTGAGTAGATGTCTATAGTGTAGTTGAGTGTAATGTTCTGTAGACATCTCTTAGGTCTACTTGGTCTATGAAATAATTTACTTCTGATGTTGCTTTGTTCATTTTTAAATCTGGGCGACCTATCAGTGAAAGTGGAGTATTGAAGTCACCCACTATTGCTGCATTGAGATCTATGTGTCTCTTTGTGTTAAGTGGTATTTGCTTTATGAAATTGGGGCACTAATGTTTGGTGCATATATGTTTACAATGGTTCTACTGCTTGCTGGATTGTCCCTTTACCAGCATGTAGTGGCCTTCTTTAGTCTTGACTGATTTGGTCTTACAGTCTGCTTTGTAAATCTGAGTACAGCTACTCAGCTTGCTTTTGGGTTCCATTTATATGAAATATTGTTTTCCATCTTTCCACTTTGCTTGTTTTTAGTTGCTAGTGAGGTATGTTTCTTGCAGTTGGGTCTTGTTTTTACACCAATCTGCCAGTCTTTGTCTTAGAGAATTAACTGCCTTAATTAACTGAATTAATTGGAAAACTAACTGTCTTAATTGGAAACCCTATTTACAGTTCAGGTTATTACAGATGGGTATGTACTAATCCCTATCATTTGGGTTTTATTTCCTAATGTTTGATTGTTCCAAATTCTCAGTAGTTTATTTTCTCTTCTTCTGCATTCAGGATTACTGTCTATGTCTTCTGCAATGCTGGCTCCGTGGTCATCAATTTCCATAGTAGGTGCTTATCTTGGAAATATTTCCCCTTTAATTTTGAAGAATAGCTTTGATGGACACAGTAATCCAGGTTGGCAGTTATTTTCTTTCAGAGCTTCATGTATACTGTTCCTTTCCTGGTCTTCACGGTTTCTGCAGAGGAGTCTGCAGTTTCTCGAATGGGTCTACGGATCTGCCTCTGTAAGGGCCTTTGTGCATCCCTCTTGCAGCTTTCAAGGTTCTCTGCTTGTTCTGCACTCTTGACATTTTAATTATAATGTGACATGGGGAGGATCTTTTGTGGTCATGACTTTGGGGTTCTAAGTGTCTTCTGTACCTGGGTATCTATTATTTTACAAGACATTGAAGTTTTTTTGTTAATATTTTGTTAAATAAAATTTCTATGCCATTACTCTGAATCTCAATACCCTCTTTTACACCAAAAACTCCTAACCATGTCCCCAAATTCTTAGGTGTTTTGTTCATAATTTCTTGCTTTTTTTATTAGTGTCTGAATGTAATAACTCTTCAACCTTATCTTAGAGCCCTGAAGTCCTGTATTCTGCTTGATTCTGTCTATGGGTGAGGTTTTCTACTGTGTTTTTGATTTGACTTATTGTGCTTTACATTTCTAAGGCTTCTGTTTAGTTCCTCTTCAGAAACTTCTTCTTGAATTGCTCTTTTCTATCTTTCATTGTCTTTCGTAATTCATTGAGCTGGATATTTTGTGACCTCTTTGAAGTCAGCAATCATTTTATCAATCAGCTTTTTAAATTCTTTGTCTGGGCTTTCATCCATGTTGATATCTTTGCTTTCAGTTACTGGTGAGTTTTGGACATTTGGTGGAATCATGTTGTGTTTTTCATACTTCTTGTACTTCTACAATAAGATTTGTGCATCTGTGGAGATGGATTCCCTTCCACTTTTATGTGAGAGTCTTCTTCGTGTTCAGACTTCTTTTACAAGCTTGATTCTCAGCGCCACTCAGAAAGAAGAAAACAAGCCATAGTACTCATGATGATAGAAAGACAAACCAGGTATCAAGCTGGGCATGGTGGTGCACCCCTGTAATCCCTGCACTTGGGAGGCTGAGGCAGCAGGATTTCCATGAATTCCAGGCCAGCCTGGACTACATAGTGAGTTCAAGGCCAGGCTGGAATGCATAGTGAGACCCTGTCTACAAAATTTTTAAAAAACAGGTATCAATAAAGCAAAACCAATAATTATGCCATGACTTGTAATAGAAAAAAATCAACAAGGCTAAAAAATTAATAAGGTTTAAAAGTGGTAAGAATAATAAATGGAGAGATGGGGAAAAGAGAAATGGAAGAAGTAAATTTTTTAAAACAAAGAAAAGAATAGAAAATGCAAGATTAAAATTTAATTAAAGAATAAAAAGTAACTAAAATTAGGTGAAAGTAACAGAAAACTAACACACAAACAAGAAAAATAAGAAAAATAAACAAAAACAGAAGTTGCGCATTGGCTGTGTGGGAGGGACAGCAAGTCACCAGGCAGTTGCTATGTGAGGTGAGTGCTGGCTACTGGGGCCACTGGCAAGGCCTGTCAGTGGTGCTGTCTGTCTGTCAGTCAGTGGTGCTGTCTGTCAGTGGTGTCTGACAGACATCCAGAATCCCAAAAATGCCGCTGGCCAGGACACACGCTTCTTTGTTCTTCTTCAGACCCCGAGGTAAACTTCCTGTTCCCTTTGTGCACATGCGAACTAACTCGCAATCCCTTCAACACCTTGCCTGCCCATGTTAACTCCACCTCTAGTCCAAGCTAATAAAAACCCATTCCCCAGCTCCCTCCTCTAAGGTCCTTGCAATCTCCTGCAACCCTCCCATGCCGGCAATAAAGGCTTGTTTTTTCTACCTCTGTCTCTTGCTCTATCTGGAGCCAAACCTAACAGTGTTGTCATCAGTGGTGTTGTTTGTCAGTCAGTGATATTGCCTGTCAGTCAGTGGTGTTGTCTGTCAATCAGTGGTGCTGTCAGTCAGGGGTGTTGCCTGTCAGTCAGTGGTATTGTCTGTTGGCCAGTGGTATTGTCTGTCAGTGTTGTCTGTCAGTGTTGTTGCCTGTCAGTCAGTGGTATTGTCTGTCAGCCAGTGGTATTGTCTGTCAGCATTGTCTATTCAGTGGTGTTGTCTGTCAGTCAGTGGTGCTGTCAGTCAGTGGTATTGTCTGTCAGTCAGTGGTATTGTTTGTCAGTGTTATCAGTCAGTGGTATTGTCTGTCAGTCAGTGGTATTGTCTGTCAGTGTTGTCTGTCAGTGGTGTTGCCTGTCAGTCTGGTATTGTCTGTCAGCCAGGGTATTATCTGTGAGCATTGTCTGTCAGTGGTGTTGCCTGTCAGTCAGTGGTGTTGCCTGTCAGTCAGTGGTGCTGTCTGTCAGTCA